GAATCCCGGGGATCGGATGCTGCCGTCCTCACTCATTAAGTGGCCGGGTCTCGCCGAAGGCCTGGAGTAGGGGATCTGATGTTAGTGTTTGGAAGAGGCTCTGAAAGCGTGAACGCTTTACGGGGGCTACATGTGAGATTGTCATTTCTGAGGATTTTCTCTGCAGAGAAAAGGGGACATTTAGCTGCATAGTTGACGCTGGATTGGCAGCCAGGCAGGTAGATGTATGTTTATTCTGTTAAGGTGAATTGAAGGGAACACATATCACTGTCATCCCCTGAAGAACTTGCAGATGTGTGTGTTCGGGGGAAGAGGGGGGCAGCTGGTCAGCTGTTGGGGCTTAACTTCTATGAGCTTCAGAATGTGCATCCTGCTAGCTACTCCCTAAAATGGCCGACGGGTTCGTTGTTTTACAGTAGAGACCTTCTTAAATGGCAGATCTGTTTTACAAATGAAGTGGAGCCATTAAGCTGCACAATCCAATTCTGAATCTTCTGTTCATTTTCCCATAGTCCTTGATTGCTGGCTGTGGATGTGGTGTGAGGACATCCCTTGCTCTGTGTGACCTTGCCTCCTGTTCTGAACATTCTCCCCCCTCCCTCTTCAGGGCCGACAAGAGAGGGGGGAAGCTGGTACAAATTACTGGGGCCCGGCTTCGTCGGCCCTATTTAGCCAGTCTGCCCTTTCTGGGGGGCCTGAAATTTTTTTTTCACCAGGGCCCGACCCGCTCTCGGCGGCCCTGTCCCTCTTCTCTGCCCAGCGTCCGCACTGGCTGGAAGGTGATTTGCTTATTTTGAGGTTGCTGCTATTTTTAGCTGTTTTTTTTAGGCTGCATTGTAACAATGCATTTGAACCGGCTCCAGCTCCTTGTGTTACATTGTCTGACTCCCCTGCCTCCTTTTCTCAGAGCTCTTTATCCTGTAGTTCTCTCGGCGGGGGCTAAATGCTTTTGATGTGTTTGCCTGGCCTCGCATGCTACTCTGGGCCCATACTTTAAAGAATACCTCCCCACCTCTTGCTCATACCAGAGTCACGTGATTAGAAATTCTGGTGGTGCCAGTGTCTATTCCGACCACAGGGACCCATTGCACACAGAGGGAGGGGGTTCACATTTTTCCTGTTGAACTGATTAAAGCTGGAAGGAACTGCAGGGTGTCCCCTGTGCCAGCCTCCCCCCTCCTTGTAAAGCTGAGAACAATACCCTACAAGTAAATCCAACCTGTCACTGGAGACCTCGCTCTGTTTGCCAAGGTAAGCAGCGATCATAGCTGGCGCTTGCAAAGCTCCCTACCAGCCTTTTTTTGAAACCCAAATAAGCCCCTGTCACCGATCCAGTTGAACACCTCCTGGGTACCCACCAGACTGCACCCACTTCTCCGAGCCCCCAGGCACTGTCCCTGTCTTGGGGTCCCTAGGCACCCTCTTGGGGTGCAGATCCTCTATCAAGCACCTGAGAGCCTAGCCCCCCGCAGTCTGACAACCTAGACACTGGGACAAATGCTGACCCCTCAGGCTTCTCCACAGTTTAAGCACAGCCTGTCGCAAAAGCCCAGCTGTATGGTGTTCTGGGTCCACAGGGTAACTCTGCAAGGGCACAGGGTGGGTGGAACACACACACACACACACACACACACACACACACACACACACACACACACACACACACACACACACACACACACACACACACACACACACACCACTATACACAAATAAACCCTACATGCATTTCCCTCCCTCAGTTTCCGGAACACTCCAGAGCATTCTTCAGGCTGGGGTGGGGGGTTCAGGGTCCTTCTCCTACAGCGCCTGGGTTGCATTCCCAACCCTGGAGCCCTCTCGCTCTCCCCAGGTCACTTGCTTTGGTCCTGCAGTTAACTGGGCGCTCTCTGCTCCGAGAGCACGCCCGTCTCTTCCCCTCTCCTGCCCCCAAAGTCCTGTGTGGGTTTTAAGAGTCTCCCCTCTGGAACCCCCCAGGCCCTGTGGTTTTTAAAAGCATCAGCACTGGTGTTCCTTTGTCCTGCCTTTGGGGATTCTACCCAGCAGGTCCAACTTTGTCTCAACATCTTGCCTCTCTGATCCATAACCGCCAGCTGTCTCCCCATCTGCTTGGATGCTTCTCTTCCCCCCATTTCCTCCATCTGCTCCCTGAGTCTCAACAGGTTCCCCTTGTTCTCACCCCTGCTGTCACCGATGCGACAACACCCCTGCAAGGATGAGCCCAGGCTCTCTGGATCTGAAAGCCGCTGCTTGAGTTAACGGTCCAGAGCTGTGAGTTTGGTGGCAGCTGCATAAACCTCTGTACGTGCCCTACCCGCAGTATGGGGGGTGGGGACACCGAGATCACGAGTTACACCAGTATCTAGGGTGACCAGATGTCCCGATTTTATAGGGACAGTCCCGATATTTGGGGCTTTGTCTTATATAAGCGCCTATAACCCCCCACCCCCGTCCCGATTTTTCACACTTGCAGTCTGGTCACCCTACAAGTATCCCACAGACTCCACTGCAGGGTCTAAGTTGGTCGCTCTGTGCAGGCTGTCCTTGTCTCACAAAGGGTCTGGCTGCCCCATCCACGGGCAGGGAAGATGGCATGGGCGTTCAGCTAATTCACCCAGGGGCTCATCTACCCATTGTCCTTTAGAGAAAGCCACTCACCTGCTATCCCGGCAGCAACATCCACTGGAGAGAGGGAGCTCTGGGGCAGTGGTGTATTAACCTATCAGGGGCTGGAGGAGCCAAGGCCATGGGCAACAGTAAATGAGGGCAGATCCAGCAATCAAAAGAGAGAGAGTGATATTCTCAAATGGAGTTTCCATCTGTGTTTTGATTCCCCTTGGCTGAGCGTTTCTCTGTGGTCCATGGACTGTGGTCATGTATGCTTAGGGGCAGATCTTCTGGCAATATAGGCATACAAATGAGTGTGCAAGACATGCCTACAAGTGTGCACCCAGTGCTTAATTTGTGCGAGGACTCAGCGGTTCGGTGCCCCGGCAGCTCCGGGCTCGGCGGTTCGGTGCCCCGGCAGCTCCGGGCTCGGCGGTTCGGTGCCC